GCAAATATTTACATAACTTTACTCCAAGAAAGCACATGCTGAAAGCCAGAGTGCTATATGGAAAGGTTCCAAAAGAGGAGATTATCTCCCAATGGAAAGACTAGAACAGCATTTTAACTGAATGGTAGGATTCCACACTGAGGGTTGAGGAAGGGCACTCCTGAGGTGAGGAGTGAGAAGTGGGTCTTCTGAGGCCACAGTGAAAGGCAATGAAAAGGAGCCTAGAGAAAGGTGGGGGCTGTGTATAGATGGTTTGTGTACTGGGCTATGCCATCTTGGTTTCTGTGGACAACGGGAAGCATTTATTCAAGGCAGACCCATGCTGCCCACAGGGAAGCTATAGAAAAACAGCTGTCATCAATCCTAAAATTCATATGAAAGCACAAAGACCCCAAAGAACCAAACCAATCCTACTAGCTCCCCTACCCTTCCCCCCAGATATATGGAAGACCTAAACAAAGTGAATGATGCTGAAGGAATCACAAAACTTAGGTTCAAAATACCCTACAGAGCCACAGTAGCTACAAAACCACCATGGTACTAACCCAGAAGACACCATAAAGCAGAACAGAAGGTCCACGGGGCTGGGAAGATGGCTCAGCTGGTGAAGTGCTTGCCATGAAAGCATGAGGACCTGAGTTTAGATCCTCAACATCACATAAAAATCCAGGTGTATCCACAGATTGTGGAGAGCCACAGCCCAACAGATGTCTGCAATCCCAGGACTGGGATGACTGAGGCAGTCCTCAGGGCCCTCAGGTTCTCTGGCTGCCCAGCCTACCTGAAGCCAGGAAAGACCCTGTCTCAAAACATAAGGTGGAGAGCTTTAAAGAAAGACACCTAGCATCAAACTCTGGCCAACACATACATACAGGTGCACATACTCATGTACACACACACACACACACACACACACACACACACACACTGTGTGTACACACATGTACACATGAAGGTGCACACACGGTTCTCCACCAGAAAAGTTTTAGATCTGTTAAACATTTCCAGTGAAGTTACAAGGTCTGCAACATACAAAATCATTATATAAAAATCAGTAGCTTCTTTGTATGTACCAGTCATCAATTTTCTGAGAATGAAATTAACAAAACTATTACATTCACTATACCTCATAAAAAGGAAGAAACCTAAGAGTAAACCTAACTAAGAGGATGAAGGCTCTCTATGATGAATTGGGGGGGGAGGAATTTAAAAAAGAAATAGAAGATGCTAAATAATAGAAAGAAATTCAGGGTTCCTGAATTGGTACAATTAAATTGTAAATATGGTTATATTACCAAAAGAGACTTACAAATTCAATGCAATTACCACCATAAGACCAATGACATTCTTTACAAAACTAGAAAAGAGGACACAAAGACCACAGACAGCCAAAGCAATACTGAGCCTAAAGAACACAGAAGATGTCTTGATACCTGACCTCAACTTATGCTACAGCTATAATGACAAGGATAGTATACAGTCACTGTTGGTGCGACTGTAAAGTGGTACAGTCATGGAAATCATCCTGGAGGTTTCTTAAAAGTTAAAAAATAGAACTACTGTGTGACTCAGCTAGACCTCTCCTAGGCATATACCCAAAGAAGTCCATATCCTTCATAGAGACACCTGCACAACCATGCTTTTTGCTTCAGTCACAATAGCAAGGAGGTGGAAACAGCCTAGATTTCCATCAAACAATCAGAGGATAATGAAAATATGGTACATATACACAATGGAGATTCTAGCTTTTAATGCCCCTACACACAGTGGTAGATGGTTATACGAGTAAATGTAGAGATGAGGGTGTGGACGCGGGTGCAGGTCTAGAAGCTGGAAAAGGGACCATGAAAGGGGAAATGAGGTGTTGAAGGATTGGAGAGAGGCTATAGAACACATGTGACATGAAAATGGACAGGAAGTTACTGAGACAGATAGTACCAGGAGGAAAGGATAGGGAAGAGGAAGGAGAGGATTAATAAAGTCAGATTGCAACTGAAACGAAAGCCTAATAATATACTAATGAAAAGTAAATGATATCAAATTTAAAAACAGGATCCAGGAATGCCCCCATACAGCTTCAGCCATCTGACTGGCTGACTCTCTTTGAAGACCAGGCTGGCCTTGACTCACAGGGATCTGCCTGCCCTCCTCCTGAGTGCTGAGATTAAATGCATACACCACACCTGGCCACGGTTTTCTGACTGACTCTCAACAGAGTAACAGCACCCAAATATTGGGGGCAAAATCCAGCCTTTTTAACAAGTGGCACCAGGAAAACCAGACAGCACGTGTAGAGACTGAAACAGGCTGGGATAAGGTTCACTTGGTAGAGTGCTTGACTTGCACTCATGAAGCCCTATCGCCAGCTTCACTTAAACTGGGTGTAGTGGCATGTGCCTGTAATACCAGAATTTGGGATATAGAGTCATGAGGATCAGATGTTCAAGACCATCCTCAGCTACACAACAAGTTTAAGGGCAGCCTGGGTTGTGTGAGACATTTCTCAAGCAAGCAACATCAAAGACAGAAATTAGATCCCTCTCTTTAACATTTTACAAATATCAGCTCAAACATTAATCAAATGCCTTAATGTAATAGAATACCAACGGCTGAGGAAATACCAATGAGATTACATTAAATTAATATGCTTCTGAGCAGCAAAGGAAACAGTGGTGAAATAGCAGCCCGCATAATGAAACAAAGCATTTGCCAGCTATTCATCTAACGGGGGATACACACACACACACACACACACACACACACACACACAAAAAAAAAAAAAAAAAAAAAAAAAAAAAAAAAAAAACTGTGGAGAAAGCAACTATCAAAAGAATGGATAATCCGGTCAGAAACTGGGAAAATTCACTAACCAGACAATTTTACAGGTCAGCAAGTACAATAAATGTATGACAGATATTCATACCACTACCCATTTCAGAAATGTAAATCAAAATTCATAATTCCAACTCACTCCAATCACAGCAGATACCATCAAGAAAACAAGTAACATCCAGGCATGATGGTGCACACCTTTAATCCAGCACTCTGGAGGCAGAGTGAGTTCAAGGCCAGCCTGATCCACATAGCAATCAAGAAAGAAAGAAAGAAAGAAAGAAAGAAAGAAAGAAAGAAAGAAAGAGTAAAAAAAGAATGCTAGAATGCTGGAATGAATATGAACAAAATGAAACCTTTTGGGAATGTAGCTTAATCCAGTCACTATGGAAATCAGCATGGAGATTCTTCATAAAGCTATGTATAGCTCATCCTTGCTGTTCCTGCTATACAGCCAAAGGAAGCAAAGACATACAATAAACATACAAAGGAAACATAGACATGCGCCTGCACATCTATGTTCATTGTGGGACTATTTGTTATAGCCAAGATATACAAGAAGGCTGGGTGCCCATCAATAGAAAAATGGATAAAGAAAAGGTGCTATACATACACAAGCAAGTTTTATTCAACCGTAAAGAAGAACTGATTGTACCATTTGCAAGAAAAATGGCTGGAACTAGAGATTATCATGTTAAGTTAACTAGACTCACAAGACAAGCATCCCAGTCTCTCTCTCTCTCTCTCTCTCTCTCTCTCTCTCTCTCTCTCTCTCTTAAGAAAATTAAGGGTAAGAGAAATAGGACATGAAAGTGAAGCAGCCTGCTGCCCCTGGCAGGCTTCTAAGGAAACTTTGCTTTCTGACTCAAGGTCTAAAGGATGAATTGATTAACCACTGCCCCCAGAAAAGAATATGAAAGAGGACTATCAGGTAGGAGAGAAAAGGAATAGAAAATGGAGGATAAGATAAGGCAATAGTGGGAAATTTTTTTATCAAAATACATTATATGAATGTATGAAAATGTTAAAATGAAACCCATTGATTTGTATAATTAATATAGGCCAATAGTCATTTTTAAAACAGCTGTCTTCTAGGATGTAAGTTCCTAGAGGATTGACAGCTGGAGACAGGATTTGGAAGAGTGATACTGAGACCCACTGGAGTCGCATTTGTCCTGAAGATAGATCCTCACTTGGATGTAAAAGGAGAATGTAGTAGTAAATGCCCTTAAATAAGACCTGGGGTATCTGAGTTCAGTCCATGCTATGTCACACACCAGCCAAAAAAAGATCTTGCTCAGGTCCCCTTCTGGACATCAGATTCTTGTACAGCATGAAAGAGTTCTCACCTCTGAGGATCCTCCTACTACTAATTCCACTTAAGAACCCCATGACAACCCCTAACCCTTCCCAAAGTTACCAGGGAAACAATACAGGAGAAGGCTCAGCCATAAACCCACATAACAAACAAAGACAAAATGAGATGGCCACTAGGGATCCCCTGACACCTTTGTATATTACAAGTCAGGACAGGGAAACAAAGGGTATCAGAGGTGTGGCAAGCAGGCTGTCTTGCTTAAAATGGGGGTGGAGATTGGATGGAAAGGAAGTGGGCCAATAAACTAGCTTCCTCCCAAATAAGCTCCCAAATAAACTAGGGCTGGGAATTTAAAAAAAAAAAAAAAGTTGTATTTCCTGCTCCACCCCAGCTCCCTCACTGGCAGGGTTACCACACTGCTCACCTGTGAAGCAATCTTTCCCAGGGACAACCATGTGTCTAGCAAGGGGCTGCCTATAAATGCTGGGCTTGCACTGCTCCTGCCAAACACTCTGTAGCTCTTTAGCTTTGGTAAGTGAGCTTCATCTACTCTGGAGAGGAGCCTGCCTGCTAGAACTCTCATCTCTTCCCTTGGCCAACTTTCTTCAAAGCCCTTCTCTAGAAGCCCTCCCTGGTTGACCCTGTCCGTTTTACAACTTCCTTCACTTTTTCTAGGAGTGTTGTACTACAAAATATTTTGCTCTTTTACATTTCCTACCATTCTTTTTATTTTGTGTTTCCCCTCCCTTTCCTGCCTGACAATGGCCAGAGACCAGGCCATGGAAGCTCAGCACCCTATCCTTTTATTTGTAACCTTTGTTTTCCCCATTTTTCAAAGAGAAACAAGAAGATGGCCACCAAAACACCATCTCTGCTGGAGCAAAGCATCACCACCATCATTGACACCTTCCACAAATACTCTACTCAGGAAGGACACCCAGACACCCTGAGCCAGCGTGAATTCATAAAGATGGTGAAAACCGATCTGGCAAACTTTCTGAAGGTGAGGCTTGGGTTAGTAAGGGAGAAGGGTGCAGTCTGTAGCAGTCAGGGAGACAGCCCCAGCACCTTCCACCAGGGGCAGTGGGGTTCTGTCACTAGAGGTGCTCAGAGTTAGACATGAGTCAGGAAATTGCTCAGTTGAACACCTGCAATTTCTGGTGCCCTTTTCTGGGCAGATGGACATAGAGATAATTCAGGACTCCATTATCCCAATGGTGGCAACACACAACCTTAACAACATAGGCAAATCCAATAACCTGGAAGTGAGAAGGAACATAAGAGTTCTGTGGGTAGTCTTGCTGGGTTCAGCAGGGTGGGGTGACTGGATATGGTTTAAAAAGTAAAAAGGACCCCTCCCTTTGAGCAGGTAACACTTTAGCTGAATCCCTAGTAAAGGACTCGTGGGATGTTAAAACAATGAGCTGGCATGGCAGGTTCAGTTGGTTCCTGGAGAAGGAAGCTGAGACCAATTACCCTTCAGAATGGGCTTCATTAAGAGAGAGATTCAAGATGATGGGGGGCTATGATCCACTCTTTAGGTGAGAGGGCATCATATGCATTATGAAGACTTTTAAAGAAAATAGCATAAAGTGAAAGAAAGGAGAGGTGACCACCATGGACAACATGGGAGGGAGTCAGTGTGGATGTGTGTCAGAGTCAGAGAAAATCTCTATTTTTTTTAAACTTCTCACCATGGTAGTGAGGAACCTGATCATATTATGGCCAGCCTTGTGGGATGGTCCCCTGCCCTCTTGGGACCAAGGAAAATGGAGAGTAGTCATTGTGGGAGGTATTAGGACAAAGGCATCTCCTCATAGGTGGGCATATCAGGCATGTCCGGTGCTGATTCAGGGTAGACTGGGGGTGCTCATGAAGCTATCTTGGCGGGTGTCTTCTCTGTGATCCCTCCATGGATTCTACACCCTATCTTGACATCCTCTGCCAGAAGCAGAGTGATGAGCCAATGGAAACGGGGACCTCGAACATGGACTGCTCACGTTGTGGGAGGAGGCATTGCTTAGCCAAGGTGTCCCAGCAAGTGAGTGGAAGACTTGCAGCCAGCTGGTGCATTTTCTGTCAAATCTTAAACTTTCCACTTTATCTGAGTCTTCCCCACACTTTATCACACCCTTTGGGATCAGCAGAACAGGATTTGCCTCTCTAATATCCCATGGTTTCCTAGGTGCCTCCTCCACTAAGTAGCCTAAATAAGTTTTTCCAACTAGTTACCTCCAAGGAAAAGCCTAGGGTGGCAGTGACTAAGAGGCTGAGAAGAGTTGGGGGGTGCATAATCCTCCAAGCCAGATCCAAATTTATACCTCCTCTCTTCTCGGCTTCCACAACCGCTTCCATTTCTATCTGTTATAAGGATGAGTGAGGGATATTTCTAGACTTACTGATTGCTTAGCCTTCTATACAGCAGAGTCCTAGTGTCCAAGGCAGAGGGATGTCTGGGGAACAAATTAGAAAGTGTTTAGTAGACGTTTAGCATCTGTTCCATCATGAACACTAAGTACATAGTTTTTATTTTTAGATCTAACCCTGGGGTCAGGTTTTCCTATGTATTTGCCATCTAGTTACTCACTGTGTTCCAGGGTCCTCTTCCCTGACTACACTCAGACCTAACAGTCTCCTCTATGTTGCCCACAGAAGGAGAAAAGGAAGGTAAATCTCATAAATGACATCATGGAGGACCTGGACACAAACCTGGACAAGCAGCTGAGCTTTGAGGAGTTTTCGATTCTGATGGCAAAGATGGTCTATGCCACCCATGAGAAGATGCACGAGAAAAACCCACGTGGGCATGACCACAGCCACGGTTCAGGCCTGGGGAAATAATTAGGAGATCAGCCACTTTGCATCTGCCCAACCAAGGCTAAAGGAAATGTTACCAACAGCGTTGGTTGTAGGCTGGGAAATGATAATAAAATAAAGTCTTTATCCATTCCAGTGCTCTGTGTGTTGTTTCTGTGTCCTTCATACTTGTCCTTCCCAGGGGCTGAGTGCTAAACTGTCCTGCCCTTGTCTGAAGCTCAAGTCCTCCATTAGGTCATAATTTTTTTTTAAAAAAAAAAAAAAAAGAGCCAGCAACCTGTGTCCATTCTGAACCTATAAGTCTTACCTCCCTCACTATGTCTCTATCTTCGACGTTAGCCCTTACTTTTTGGATCACAGTACCCCTGTCCAGTTTGTCACCATGGCCCTTGCCACAGCGGAAAGCAAAACCATGTGGTTCCTTCCCTAGACACCTTCCTCCCTTGGCACTGTGCAGTCTTACTTCTCTTAATGCTGTTTTCTCTCTCTCTCTCTCTCTCTCTCTCTCTCTCTCTCTCTCTCTCTCTCCTTCTCTCTCTCTCCTGATTCCCTTCTCCCTTGTCTCCCTCCTCTCTCCCCTTCCCCTTAGGAAAGTCTTCCCAAAATGGACCTAAACTGTTCCATGTCTGGGGAGGTGTACTAAGTAAGGATATATGGACAACAGGCATGTACTAATGCTTTCCTAGATACAAGAGGGCAGGCAACCCTCCCAATAGACATAGAATTCTAAATGTGTGTGCTAGTGGTTCGCTGTGATCCTCACATAGATGGAAGTAGCAATTACCCCCAAGTCCACCACAGCTGCAGCAGAATGGTAGGGTGAAAAAACTCACTTGCCAGTGAAGGGGATGAACTCCCACCTGACTCTGCATTTCAAACTCCCTGGGTCCTATAGAGAGCTTGCACTTGGTCCACAGAGCCTGTGAGGCCTGAGGACTGAAATTATAAACTACAAGGACCAGGTAATGTCCACAGGATGGAAGAAGCTCTTTCTGTCCCTAGTCAGCGGCCAAGAGCTCAGCCCAGCAAGGACATTTGCTCTACTTTGTGAGTCCTGTTCCACCTTCCTTGGGGCTGCTGTCACTGTCCCCACTCCATGCAGCTTCTGCATTCCCATCTAAGAGACAAAGTCTTGGTTGTGGCTAAACAAGAAAGGTAAGAAAAACCTAGAGCCATAAGAAACTGGAGGCAGAGGTTCACACACAGAGGAAGCAGATCCATTGTGGCAAGTGGCTAGTTGGGGCAGCTGTGAGGCCACAAGGACTGCTTAGAGACTTGGCCTCTGGTAAAGGCCAGAGAGGATGAACACTCCAAAGAGTCAAGAGCACTTCTCCTTGTCTCATGTCTCTGTGAACCCTGAGTGTAGGTGGCCATTCTAGAATCCAGGCAAATATCTCAGAGCAACCCAGTTTCGCAGAGTCCCATAGGATTTGCTGTAAATAGTTAAACAGAAGCAGTCATGGTGACTGAGCCCCGTCCTTCCCATTAGGAAAAAAAAAAAAAAAAAACTGGCTTGTTTAGTATATGTAAAGATCTCCTCTCAGATCTAGATGTGTTATCACAAGTGTTACTGTTGTCAACACAAAACCACAGCTCTCATCTCAAAGGGAATAAGAGACAGCTTGTTTTGGAGTCATGTTGAGTGGCCATGGCTGGGAACAGACTTGGGCTACTCAAAATTTCGTGTTCCAAAGTGGAAATAGATCCCTTATGTTTTAGTTTTACAAAACAAAGGAAGTCATAAACAGCCATGTCTGAATCTGATCTAGGTCCTGTGTGGATCAAGGAAGTCTCTAGAATTTTGGAAAGAAGTTAATTTCCTTTTCCATTCACTATTTTGGCCACTTGTTCTTTCAGGATGCATTAGTTGGACACTCACTTAGTCCTAGGCCCTCCAGACAACTCCAAAGAGCCACTGCAGTAAGTGAGGCTTGGCCAGGAGTCCCAAGGCCTGCAGGAAGACTAAACAGGTCCTTGAGCCATTCTAATATGAAAAGAGAATGTCAAGGGGTGTGCCATTAGGTGGGACCTTGAGGTTGGAATGGTACCCATCCGTAGAGTTGTCCCCCCAGAGGGGAGGTGGCTTTTCTCCTGTATCAGAATTTGCTGATACACTGCCACTACCCTTAAAACACTGAATGGCAACCTGAGATGCACAGCCTTAGCTGGTGAAGTGCACTTGAATGCATCTGAGGACTGTTTTCACATTTCCTTTTCCTTTTTTCTGCCTTCATTCTAAAAGAAAAAATAGTATCTTGCTATGTAACCCAGGCTAACCTCAAACTTGCTGTGGCCCTCCTGCCTCAGCTTCCTGAGCACTGGGATTTGTACATATAAGCCACCAAGCCTAGCTAAGAGGAGAGAGAACCAAAATGCATTGAAGCTGAGACTGCAGACATCTCAGGACAGACACAAAAATGCTTCAGAAAAAGGCCTGTATGTGGCGGGTATAAGGCTGTGTAGGGATGAGTAGTATGGATATACGAGGGAGTGAGGTGAAAGCTACACAGACAAACAAGACAGATTGGGAGCCAAGAAGTTCACTCTTCAGTTGGGAAAGCAAAGGGCAGACACAGCAAAGGGTGCAGGAAAGGAAATTCTAGCATCATATTTGTGCTTTGTAAACATCAATCCAAGGTTTATGGAATAGACTAGGGGCAAAAAAGAGGCCACAGGCACATAGCCTGTTACGAGACAGAGACAACTAAGCCTATTTGGTCAGAATATAAAATGTCCTTCAGTTAGAGAAGGCACAGCATGCAGCTCCTGTTGTACTGAACCTGTAAATGACAGCAATGACAGTAAAGAGACACTGGTGTCTCTCAGCCAGACTATGGAGCTATAGAAACAATGCACCCCAAAATGGGAAGTTTCCCAGCAATCCCATACTGGGAATGGGAAATGGTCCCAGCCATTTCTAGGAAATGTCTAGGAAAGAGGTTTATAACACTTGTCAAACTGCCTTACAGAATGAGACTGAAGGCCCGGGCGGGACCCCACGGGGACCTGTGCTGCTGAGATGCACACATCCCCTCCACTCATATAAATTTTAATCTCACTGCAGGGACCAGAACATGGGCTTGGGTGTTTTCTGGGTCCCTTTATCCCTCTTTACAATGTGGCCACATTGAACAAATCTCCTCTTGCTGTTTTCCAATATCAACTTGACCCTTTTAATTAGTTTATCGAGGAAGGGCAACAGGACCTGGCTCAGGCTAGGATTATAACCCTAAATTTGGTACCCTAGATAAATAAATTGCTGTAATTTTGTCCTGTTTGCCAAGACCCTACTTAGTAGAGACCTCTGCTGTGAGCAGTCCAGTGAGGCAATGTTACACAACACCATAACCCAACCTCAGAGTCCTGCTCAGCCCACCTTCTGGAGTTGCCTAAAATTATATTTTAGAAAGTGCTGTGTTATGAATTTTGACATTCCAATTGCCAAGACAATAGCAGGAATGATGTAACTGTTGCCCAAGTTTCTTAGGCTCATGTTTATCTCAAGACCAGGTAGGTTTCCTGGTCCTGTTAGAAATATGCCCTCAAAAGACAGAAAAGTGGGCCCCAAGAGCGGAAACCACAGGCCTCTCATGGGTTTTCTCTCTTTCTACTGTATGTTCTCCAGTGTTTGCCTTCACAACTGGAATCTGCAGGAGCAGACCTTACAGTGGGGCTCAGAGAACAGGACAGCATGGGCAGGGGTGCAGGATCCCCATGGCCCATAGCCTAGGGAAGCCCCACCTTAGTGTCCTCTAACGCTTCCTCTCCCCTCTTCTCTGTCTCTCTCTCTCTCTCTCTCTCTCTCTCTCTCTCTCTCTCTTCTTTAACTGCACCTCTTTTTCCCTCTTTCTTCTCTTGATTTTCTCACTCACTGCTTTCTAACCTCCTACACTCCCTAGTGAGAGGTAACCCTACACTGTTAGGGTGTTGGTGAGGGTTGCAAAATAATTATGATAATATATAACCAGGAACAACTTAAGGCACAGTATTTAGCTCCCAAGTCTCCTCATAATATAGGATGGAGCAAATAACAGAGGGAAACACAGTTGTAGGTCGCTTGATAGCACTGAATGATTTGCTACTGTGCAAACATCATAGAGTGTGTTTGATATAGAAGAAACTCAAAGTAATAGAATTGATGTTATAAAAAGATTTACCAGAAGATTTGCTTAGGAGACATTAAATCACACAGCATAGAATTTAGCTGAAGGAGCACTGCCTCCAAAAAAACGCATCAAAGATAAACAGTCTTCCCACCAGCCTTTAGAGTTAACTAAGCAAAATTTATGATGATAGGATGTAAATGTTTATTCACCAGGACTGACCAGCCATTAGACCCATCCCCAAAGAACACACCACTCACACGCAGCTCAAGGGGGGCACACAGAGTCACAACTACCATCATGTCCTAGTCTGCCATTAAGTTCCCTGGGCTTTTGTCAGGGAAAGTATAATTCTTCCAGATGGGCAAGATAGGCCCATGTAACGACTATCCAAAAAGAGCTACACTGTGCTTAAGAAATAACTCTGATAACAGCTTTGTTGTGTAAATTTCCCACCTGCCCAAGTGACCAGACCTGCAGTTCAAATTGTCTTAAGTGTGATCTGGAACTGGGACCTGGTGGAGACTTAGGGATGACAGTGCATGTAAAATGCATCAGCCTCTGGTGTACATAATGTAAGGTGAGGTTTTTTTGTCCCTGAATGGTCCCACCACCTTGAGAGCCCCAAATAAACACACAAGACTTATATTAATTATAAAATTGTTGGCCAGAGACTAGGGCTTCTGATTGGCTAGCTCTGTCTTAACTACTAATCTATGTATTTCCACATGGTCTTGGTTTATCGGAGAATGCTGGACCTGCAACTCCTATCCCTGCTACACTGAGACTCTTTGGAAGTGATGCAGCTGTGCAGAGTCAGGATATAAGCAGGGACAAACAGGAAATCACTCTCTTCTCTTCAGAGACACTGAGCAGTCATCAGGTAGCAGACAAAGGAGTTGCAGATTCGGTATTCTCCAT